GGTGTGTGACTTACAGGGGGAGTGAAAAAAAAACCTTGGAAGGCCCCCTTATGGGTCCTTTTGGGCCCTTGCCGACTCCGACAGGGGCCATGAAGGATAATTTTAGAGCTTTTCTCCCCCTCCCCCCCTTCAGGCCTCCCCCATTAACACCCGCCCGATCGTCCCGGACCGTGGCGGGCCTGAGAGCGGCCCAGAACCTTCAGAATGTGTTTCCTCCAGGGCTGGCGAGCTCAGGCGAGGCCAGGGTCACAGCTACTCGGGGACAACGTCAACGGGAGGGGGATTGGATTTCCTCAGGAGTAGTTTTTCAGAGTGGCTTCCCTTACTTATGCTTGGATCGGTCGCCAAACTTCCGGCTTCGTTTCGGCGGGCGTCTTCGTGGCCGAAGAGTTGCCCGATGCCGTTGGCACTGTGGACGATTGGTGTGGCGTTCGGTGTCGCGCGCTTCGCGTGTGCAGACCTGAGGGCAGGCCCGCGCCCCACGTAGTCTACATCGTTGGTTTGTGCGAAGCCCTGGGCGGAGGACACATGGCAGAGTGTTTTCGATGTTCAAGCCGCCCTCCAAGACTGGGACCGATACAGCTGGTGGTTGTTAGCAGGAGGCAGCAAAGTGCACTGGGCGTTTTTTTTGTTGATCACCCCTCGGTGTGTCGTTGTGGGCACTGCAAGCAATTGTCGGCTGACCGCGCTATCGGGGCCAAAGTGGCATTGGCGGGGTTAGTTGCGTGTGTGGACCCCGCTGTGTCGCTACCCACCTCAGCTATTGACGTTGTGCTGTCGCTCCCGGGCGTGCCCCACTCAGCGCATGTCGTCCCAGACTTCCCTGGCCAGTCAGATCACAAAATGGTTGAAGGTAAGCTCCCCGTCGTCATCAAATGCGCTTGTGGCCGCGCGGCTGGTAGGATTGTGTGGGCCTCCGCGGGCGAGTGGGACCACGTGCTGGACAAGATCGCGCCCTGTCTATCCCGCCCAGAGCAGGCCGTGGTCCCGCTGGCCACGGACCTCGTGCTTGCCCCGCCCGCGCATGGCGGCACGGCGCCGCATCGCATCCGGCGGAAGCTGCTGGGTGCAATTGGCCGCCTGGCGTCGGGACGGATTCCTCAGGATACCAGGGCGCGCAGCAGGACGTGTCCGAGTCTGCACCTCGAGGGCGGGCCCTACGGGCAGCTCAGCCTCCGAGGGCTCGTCGCCGATGCTGGTCGCCAGGTGCGGTGCCCGCCGGTGTCGGGACGCGCCCGTGACGCACGCCCTGCTGGCGCGCGCTGGCACTGCAGCCCTCCGCGCGAAGCTGGCGCGTGCCCGCCCCTGGGCCCACAGGAGCATCAAGAGGGAAAAAAAAACACAGACACAATTAATCGTCCACTCCCAGGAAAATATAGGAAACTATGGGAAGTGGGGGGGGAAGGCAAAAAGCCAGAAAATATATGAAAATATGGGGAAGATTTTTATGTGTGTGTATTTATTTGTGTGTCCTGGGGCCCCTTCAAGCTGGGGCGGCGTGCCCCAGTGCCCGCCCCTGGGCCCACAGGAGCAGTGCTGCAGGAAGCCTTCGGGCCCGAGCGCCAGGGCCCCCAGAGCTGGAGAGCGGCCCACAGCATCCTCCGGCATCGTCTGAGATTCCCAGCCAGCCTGTGGTGTTGGGCCTCTGTTCTGAAGGCGCGCGGCCCCGCGTCGCCCCCTTGTCGTCTCCCTCCTCCTCCCCCTACTCCTCCCCATCCTCCGCGCGTCCTCATCATCGTCGTCCTCGTCGGCGCGCCCCTCACGCGCTTTCGTGGCCCCATAGGGAGCTCCACCTGCGGCCCCAGTGGTTACGCCCACGTGCCTTCCCCACACCACGTGCGGCGTACCAGTCACGCGTTTCCTGGCGCCATCGGGAGCGTCACCTGAGGCCCCAGCGCCAGCGCCCGCATGCCTTCTCCACACAAGTGCGGCGCACCCCTCACAGGTTTCGTGGTCCGACAGGGAGCTCCACCGAAGGCCCCAGCGGTTGCGCCCGCATGCCGTCTCCACACCGTTCCAGTGCGCCCTCACACGTTTCGTGGCCCCGGAAAGAGCTCCACCTAAGGCCCCAGAAGTTGCGACCGCATTCCTTCTCCACGTCGCTTCGGCTCACACGTTTCGTGGCCCCACAGGGAGCTCCACCGAAGGCCCCAGTGGCTGCGCCGCATGCCTTCTGCACGCCGTTTCGGGTGATCCCTCACACGTTTCGTGGACCTAGAGGGACCTTCCTCTGAGGCCCGAGTGGTTGCGCCCTCGTGCCTTCACATGATTCCTGGGCACCCATCACACGGATCGTGGCCCGATAGGGAGTTCCATCGAAGGCCCCAGTACCACTTCGTCGCAGCTCTCATACGTTTCGTGGCCGCATGAGGGGGCTCCGTCGAACGCGATCCGGACAACTACGATACTCACCACTGCGCATTGTTGGATTATTCTCCTGGCTACTCATTCCGCGGACCCAGCGAGCTCGCAGGGATTTTCTCCTGTCCCAGACCTATGTTTGATGGCCCCTGGGGCTCGATGAGATCGCTGGGGTCCAAGGCCGTGCTGAGGATCAATACCATCGGAGATCTGGGCTTCCTCCAGGGCCGACGAGGCAAGGCGAGCCAACGGGCGTAGCTTTCCCCCGTTGGGGGCTTGTATCCCCGTGCACGACGCCCGGGCGCCCAGGGCGGCTGCCCCGAGGGGGCATGGGAGTACCGGGGCTAATTTTTCATGTGTTTTTTTCAGGGTTTCCGCGTCCTGGGCCTCGGAGGCCGCCGCCTCCGACCCCCCGTGGGAGGACGGGGCGGCTGGGGAGGTCCAAAATAGTCCAGGAGGGCCTCCAGAGGCTCCCAAGACGGCCCAAGCGGGCCGCGAGTCGCCGAAAGACCGCTCCAGGACGCCCAAGATAAGCCCAAGACGGCCCGAGAGGCCCCCCAAGGCACTCCCACGACGCTTCAAGACGCCTCTCCAGAGCGCTTCAAGAGGCCGAAATCGTCAATGTCACGAAGGTTTTCGAACGATTTTGGCCTTCCAGCCTTTTCGGCTGTCCGACGTTCCAAGACGGCTCAATAGGCCCCCAAGAGCGCCCCAAGACGGCCCAAGAGGGCCCCAAGACGGCCCCAGAGTCGCCCAAGACAGCCCAACAGAGCCCCAAGACGGTCCCAAGATGCGCCCAAGAAGGGGATCACGACTCCAAAATTCGACCCTCCAGCTTGAAGAGTGCCCCAGGAGGCCCCAAGGAGCCCCCAAGAGGCCCCAGGAGGCACCCAAGAGGCACCCAGGAGGCCCAAACGATGCTTAAAGAGGCCACAAAACAGCCCCGAGGAGGCCCCACAACGGTCCCAAAACGGCTACCGAGAAGCTGCGAAACTGCCTTCACGACGTCACCGACAGGCCAACCACGAGATCCAAACCAAAACCCATGAGGCCTCTGACCCACCACCCAGGGCATTGTGGCGGGAGCAGTGACAGCATTTGTGCACAGCATGTTCCGGCGGGAGCCTTCCGGAACACGCTGCAGGAGGAGGAGGAATATCAGGAGGGGAGAGAGTTGGAGTGGGAGGAGGAGGAGGGGGACGAGGAGGAAGAGGCCTCCAAGACAGCTCCAAGATAGCCGAAGAGACTTCCAAGAGGGCCCTGGGCGGCCCACGAGGGCCCCAAGGCGGTGCCTGAGGCGCCCAAGAAGGCCCGAGAGGGCACCAAGACGGCCCCAAGAGAGGTCCAAGAAGGGAAACACGAACTGAGAATCCGAGCTTTCTACCCCGAGAGATTCTCGGGAAGTCCCAAGAGGCCCCCAATCGGATCCAAGAGGCCCCCAAGAAGCTCCCAAGAGGGCCGACGAGGTTCCAAGAGATCTCCCAAGGCAGCCCCAAGAGGCACAACTCATCGTTTTACGATTGTGCTTTGCCGGTTTTTAATTGTTTCGGCCTTTTGGCATCCCGATGCTCCAAGACGGCCCAAGAGGCTTCCAATACCGCTCCTATATAGAGGAAGAGGCCTCCAAGAGGGCCCCAAGACGGCCCGCGAGGCCCCCAAGACGGTGCTTGAGGCGCCCAAGACGGCCCGAGAGGGCCCCAAGAGCCCCAAGAGAGGCCCAAGAAGCGGAACGCGACCCAACAGCAGAGCGTTCCCCCCAAAAGGCTCACAGAAGGCCGCCAGAGGACCCCAAAAGCTTCCCGAGGGCCCAAAAGGCCTCTAGGAGACGTCCAAGAGGTTTTAAAATAGCCCAAGAGTGCCCTCGATGCGTCAAAACTGCTTCCAGGAGGCCCCCGGGAGGCTTCCGGATTGCCTCAATCTGGTCGCAGGTGGCCTCAAGTCGGGCCTCCACGCAGCCAAAACGGCCAATGACGGCTTCAGATTGCAGAACCGATGCCCCCAAGGGACCCACAGACGCCCCCCCAAGAGGCACCCAAGAGGTGCCTCCAACAGCCAGTTGATGAAGCATGCGGAACACCCCAGAAGCTCCTCAGATGCCGTCGCGCGCCTGTGCTTGATAGCGTTGTCCAAGATCGTCCAGCGCCCCCCCAGCCTGGGCTAGAACCTGAGCGCGCGTGAAGCGCGCGCGATGGTTCTAGCCCAGCGCATTCGTAGCGTGGCTCCGGCGTGTGTATTGGCCAAGTACTCATTTTGGCTGGCCAGCCTCGCCTGCCGCACTATAATTTTCTTGTTGCTTGATCAGCGCGCGTTTGGTGCGTTGATTGGCGGTTGGCGCGTATCTGGCCAACACGCTGAGGTCGCACAATGCAACGATGCATGATACCAGGGTGCCCGCGGAAAACAACATCCCAAGCGACGCGCTGCGATGCTGGCGTGGCTGCTTGTTACTTGCAGTTGTGTTTTTTGTGCAATTCTTCACGCTACGCGCCATAGGGGCCCCGCGGCCCAGGGAGCGCGGCGGGGTCGCGCCGGGAGGCTGAAGACGCCCGGGGAAGGTGCCGAGGGAGCTCCTACAGCGGTCCAAGAGGCTTCCCAGACAGCCCAAGAGCGCTCCAAGACTCCCAAGATGGCACCAAGAGGACCCCAAGACCGCATCAATGCGGCCCAAGAGGCCCCCAAGAGGACTCTCAAGAGGTCCGCAGTCATTTGCGCTCAAGTGAGGCATCTTTGCTCAGGACATCGCTGTCAAAGCACATTTGCACCAAACAGACATCCAGATTCATACTTGGATTCAGTACCTTCAGAAATGACCCTCACGGGCTTTGCCACGTTGCTCATCACGGTCGTAGTGCTCATGGGGGGCATTCGCACCGCAATTGGTTTGCTGGCGGGTCTGCTTACGACGGACAGCCCGACTCCGTACCCGCCTCCGTACCCGATTGGAACATCCGGAGACGATTGCGTGGACGAAGATGGATCTTTGGTCAACGAGGCTGGCCGTAATTGCATGGAGATCAAGGGTCTTGGACAACGACGACATGGACTTTTCTGCGCGAGTAATGTGTTGTGCTTGCGGAGGTGGTATTCGCAATCATATTATCAGCCACGGCGATGAAGTAACGCTAAGGCCCAGTGACGCCACGCACGCATATGCGTCGACCTGGTGCCTGTCGCGGAAGGGCAAGCCCATCAGGCAATGCAGGCTTAGTATATTACAGCCACCAGAACTGCGAAGCTCTACGCGATGCGGACTCAGGGTGCACAGGATATGTTCTCCAAGCTTCTGAGTCTAATTATAATTGGTGTGGGACACACACGTCGGTCGGTGCGACAGGCGATGGCCGAACATTGCATATGTGTTACATGAAGGGGGGCCGCGGGGCCCAGCCTGACGCCGAACCCGACGCCTTACCCGACTCCGTACCCGACTCCGTACCCGACTCCGTCCCCGACTCCGTGCCCGACTCCTAACCCGACTCCAGTGGCCGGTGCGGCCGGTGGGGCGGCGCAGGCGACCGGGGACCTTCACCTCGCCAACGTGTTCGGGCAGCGGTTCGACATCCACAAGGAGGGATGACACACGCTGGTGCGGGTTCCCCGGGGTGCCAAGCGCGGGGCCGCCTTGCTGAGCGTCGATGCGGAGGCGCGGCAGATGGGCGTGGCGTGCACCGACATGTACTTCGTGTCGGTGAACCTGACGGGCAGATGGGTCGGCTCCCAGGGCCGCGCATTCTGCGCCGGCTATGTCGCTGACAAGGAGTCCCGGCATTGGCTGCGATACGGCCAGGTGGAGCTGAAGGTGGTGCAGGGCCGCACTAAGAGTGGCATCGTCTATCTGAACCTTTTCGTCCGCAATCTGAAATTTGTAGGCTACCCTGTGGGTGGGATTCTGGGCTTGGACGACCACGCGACCGCAGCTGAGCCCAGTCTGAAGTGCCAGAAAAGAATCACTTTGGCCTCAGTGCCAGTCCGGACGAACGCCTCCACCGCAGCGGCATATTTGTAAGTGATGCCGTGGTGCAAGCACGTATGTCTTTGTCATTGCAGTTAGTTGGACTTGCGATTGACCGGATTCTCTTGGTACCACTCGCCGATGATGATGATGATGATGCTAATGCTGCCGATGAGGATAATGATGATGATGATGATGATGCTGATGTTGCTGATGAGAAGATGATGCTACTGCTGCTGATGACGATGATGCTGACACTCTTGATGATGTTGATGACGATGACAATGACGATGCTGATGACGATGATGATGATGTTTATGATGATGCTGATGATGACGATTACGCCGATGACGGTGATTATGATGTTGATGCTGGCGATATGATGGTGACGACGGTGGTGATGATGATGATGATGATGATGATGAGTTTGCTGTTGTTGATGATCGTGGTGATGGTTATGCTGCAGAGGTTCGTGATGCTGATGAGGATGCTGATGATGATGCTGATCGTGATGATGACGATGATGGTGATGGTGATGAGGAGATGATGATGCTGATGATGATGATGCTGATGATGATGCTGATGATGATGGTTTTGCCGATGCCTCTGCCGCTGATGATGATTATGCTGCTCACGACGCTGACGACGCTGACGATGACGATGTCGATGATGATGATGCTGATGATGGTGATGATGACGTTGCTGATGTTGTTGATGTTGATGATAGCGATGCTGATCATGATGATGAGGATGATGAGGATGATGAGTCATCATGATGGTGATGATGATGCTGATGATGATGCTGTTGATGTTGATGATGATGCCAGCAAACTCGTTTGGAAGACAGCTACCGACTGCGAATCGACTACAGACATTGATCTTGGATCAGACCACAAAGCAGTACGATTCACCTTTCGATTACCTGAACAGCAACGACGACGCAGCACCCAACCGGGAGGCACCCCGCAGCTGCGAGGACAACGGACGAATCGACGAGCAGCACGTTGCACGTGGCCTCCAGAGGACATCCCTACATACCAAGAGTCGCTCGCGGAGAGACTGGACGCCTTCCTACTCGACACGCAGCTCCAGATCAAGTGCGACGACATCGAAACCGCCATAGTGGAAACATTATCGGGGCAATCGCACAGCATCAGTACCAACGAGCGCACCACGACATCAACGACAAGGGACAGCTCAATTGCACAACTACTGCAAAAGAGACGGGACGCAGCAACCACCGACATTACAGCACGAGCACACCTCAACAAGAAGATCCGAAAAGAAATCAGGGCTGTCAAACGAGCCAGCCGCAGAGCAGCAGTTGACCGAATCCTCACACAATATCGGGACCTCAAACGTATCAGCGGCGTCAAGAGTTACAAAAAACGTGACCTTATCCAGGGGATGGTTGATATTGGCGGGAGCACGCAACGCGACAGAAAGACAATCGCAGACGTATTCGTTAACTTTTACTCGCGCCTATACCGGGACGCGCAGAAGGACACCCAGCAGCACCACGGGCAACACGAGGCAGAACAGATCCCTCCCTTCACGAACAGCGAACTGACTGTCGCACTTCGTCAGCTAAAGACAAGCCGCGCGCCAGGCACCAACGGTATAGTGGCAGAGATGCTGGAGGAGCGAGGAGACGCACTCAAGAGAGTCATGCTGGACACGTTCAACAACATACTGCGTTCTGACTCACCCACACCCTCCAGGTGGAAACATACTCTCATCAAAGTCTTACACAAACGCGGCCAGAAAACTACCGACCTATCGCGACGATCCCGCTTCTGTACAAGCTTTTCTCCAAGCTCTTGTCCAATCGCTTGTGCGTTCAATTGGATTGTCATCAGAGCCCAGACCAAGCAGGCTTCCGACCCAACAGGAGCACAACCGATCATTGATTTACCAGTGCTGTTCTGGTAGAGATATCGGACGCATGGCAAACACCTCTCTGGATGGCGGCGATAGACTTCAGGAAAGCATTTGATAGCGTCGCACAGTCGACCATATGGATAGCCCTAGAAGAACAGCAGGTACCAGTTCCATATATCACTCTGCTCCAAAAGTTGTATCACCAGCAGACGGCCTCCGTCAGGACTGACCGCTTCAGCAAGGAATTCAATATTGAACGCGGAACAAAGCAGGGAGACCCATTAACCCCACTACTCTTCAATTGCGTTTCGGGATATATTATGAGACGCGTGAGCGGAAAAATGGACAAGCAGCCCGGGATCCCGCACTTACCAAACAGCGACGGCTTACTGACCAACTTACGACTTGCCGACAACATCCCCCTCATTGCGCGATCAAGCAATGACATCACCAGCATGTTGTCCGATATTATCATCGAAGCGGCAGACGGCGGGCTACCACTGCATCCAGACGAGACCAAAGTTCTGCATAACGGACACAGACCAAAAAGAGCACAACGACCGCCTACCCACGTCTTCGTTCACAACATGAAGATCGAAGTGCTCCCACCTTACCGAGCAACTAAGTATTTGGGGCGCAAGCTCCAATGCAGCGACAGCCACAAGACGGAAGTGGAGAACCGGATTGCGCCGGCATGGAGAACATTTTATTACCTAACAGCGAAGACTGATAGGTTTCTAGTGGGGTAAAAAGAGCCCACAGATCACTCCACAGGGGGGTCCGGGCAGGTGTTGGGAGTTGCCGGGCGGCAGGGTGCCGGGCTCGTTTTTCGCCAACAGTCACACACTTCGTGCTCTTCGACTTCCCAGAACTCCATTCCCTGGCCACATTCTGGAGGGCCGGATGCAACTGTAGGCCACTTCGTGCTCTTCCATTTCCCAGAACTCCACTCCCGGGCCACATTCTGGAGGGCCGGATGCAACTGTAGGCCACTTCGTGCTCTTCCATTTCCCAGAACTCCATTCCCGGGCCACATTTTGGATGCCCGGAGCCAACTGTAGGCCATTTCGTGCTCTTCTATTTCCCAGAATTCCATTCCCGGGCCACATTTTGGATGCCCGGAGCCAACTGTAGGCCACTTCGTGGTCTTCGAGTCCCCAGAACTCCATTCCCGGGCCACATTTTGAATGTCCGGAGCCAACTGTAGGCCACTTCGTGGTTCTTCGATTCCCAGAACTTCATTCCCGGGCCACATTTTGAATGCTGAGGCAGGCTGATGCTGAGGCTGAGGCAGGCTGAGGCTGAGGCAGGCTGAGGCTGAGGCCGAGGCTGAAGGCAGACTGAGGCTGAGGCTGAAGCAGGCTGAGGCTGAGGCTGAGGCAGGCTGAGGCTGAGGCTGAGGCAGGCTGATGCTGAGGCAGGCTGAGGCTGAGGCTGAGGCTGATGCAGGCTGAGGCTGAGGCAGGCTGAGGCTGAGGCCGAGGCTGAAGGCAGACTGAGGCTGAGGCTGAAGCAGGCTGAGGCTGAGGCTGAGGCAGGCTGAGGCTGAGGCAGGCTGAGGCTGAGGCTAAGGCTGAGGCTGTGACTGTGACTGCCGTTGCCACTGCGACTGTCATCGCGAATGCGACTACGACTGCGAGAACAGCAGAATTCTACAACTGGATTCTCATCTGAATCTTAAGGGGAATGCTTCCAGATATGCTCCTACACATCGCTGTTTGGTTGCTTTGCCGGGATAATTACCTAACAGCGAAGACTGATAGTTTCTAGTTGACTCAAAAGAGCTCACAGATCACTCCACAGGGGGGTCCGGGCAGGTGTTGGGAGTTGCCGGGCGGCAGGTGCCGGGCTCGTTTTTCGCCAACAGTCACACACTTCGTGCTCTTCGATTTTCCTGAACTCCATTCCGAGGCCACATTCTGGAGGGCCGAATGCAACAGTCCCACACTTCGTGCTCTTCGAGTTCCCAGAACTCCATTCCCGGGCCACATTCTGGAGGGCCGGATGCAACAGTCACACACTTCGTGCTCTTCGACTTCCCAAAACTCCACTCCCGGGCCACATTCTGGATGGGCCGGAGCCAACTGTAGGCACTTCGTGCTCTTCGAGTTCCCAGAACTCCATTCCCGGGCCACATTTTGGATGCCCGGAGCCAACTGTAGGCCACTTCGTGGTCTTCGAGTTCCCAGAACTCCATTCCTGGGCATGATTTTGAATGCCCGGAGCCAACTGTAGGCCACTTCGTGTTCTTCGAGTTCCCAGAACTCCATTCCCGGGCCACATTTTGAATGCTGAGGCAGGCTGATGCTGAGGCTGAGGCAGGCTGAGGCTGAGGCAGGCTGAGGCTGAGGCCGAGGCTGAAGGCAGACTGAGGCTGAGGCTGAAGCAGGCTGAGGCTGAGGCTGAGGCAGGCTGAGGCTGAGGCTGAGGCAGGCTGATGCTGAGGCAGGCTGAGGCTGAGGCTGAGGCTGATGCAGGCTGAGGCTGAGGCAGGCTGAGGCTGAGGCCGAGGCTGAAGGCAGACTGAGGCTGAGGCTGAAGCAGGCTGAGGCTGAGGCTGAGGCAGGCTGAGGCTGAGGCAGGCTGAGGCTGAGCCTGAGGCAGGCTGAGGCAGAGGCTGTGACTGTGACTGCCGTTGCCACTGCGACTGTCATCGCGAATGCGAGTACGACTGCGAGAACAGCAGAATTCTACAACTGGATTCTCATCTGAATCTTAAGGGGAATGCTTCCAGATATGCTCCTACACATCGCTGTGAGGTTGCTTTGCCGGGATAATTTATTCAAGCGGGAACTTACTGGAACGCAGAACTCACTGAACAACCGTATCCGGCTATCCCATGGAGCAATTACTCCAACGGTGTTATATAGTTGTGAGGCTTTTGCGATGACACAGGAGCTCGAGAATAGGATTCGACGGACGCAGCGACAAATGCTCCGGATGATAGTCAGAACGCCTCGACGAAGGCTTGTTGCGAAGGTTTGTTGGCAACCACGACCTCGGAGACGGCACCGGCGGCAACGACGCCAGCGGCAGGAACGACAAGGACTCCAATGATTCGGGCACCGACGGCGGAGGTGATGCAGACAGTGTGGCACCATCTGTACAATCAGCAGCAGACGATCTCGAGGACACCGACCCACTCGAACCCAGGTCAGACTGGATCAAACGAGCAGCTCGACACGCAGAGAGTGTTATTGAATCGCTTCGCTCATTCCGCCGGCCCATAGTGTAGCGTCGCTGGCACTTGCTTGCGTGCTCGGGGGGGCATTTGGGTGGCCTCCTGGGGCCGCTTGGGGGCCTCTTGGGGGCCTCCTGAGGGCCTGTTGGGGGCCTCTTGGGGCCTCTTAGGGGCCTCTTGGGGCCTCCTGGGGACTTCTGAGGGCCGAGGGCTCGAAATATTGTTTCGTGTTCCCCCCCTGGGGTCCCTCTTGGGGCGTTCTTGGGGCCCTCTTGGGCCGTCTTGGAGGCCTCTTGGGCCGTCTTGGAGCCCTCTTGGGCCGTCTTGGGGCCCTCTTGGGGGCCTCTTGGGCCCTCTTGGGGCGGTCTTGGGGGCCTCTTGGGCCGTCTTGGGGCGTCGTGAAGCCGAAAAGGTGGAAACGCCAAAATCTCTCCAAAACCTAAGGGAAAGCACTGAATTTTGCCTCTTGGGGCCCTCTCGGGAGTGCTCTTGGAGGCCTCTTGGGGCGTCTGGGGGCCATCGTGGGCGTCTTGGAGCGATCTTGTGGCATCTCGGACCCCTCATGTAGCATCTTGGGGGCCTCTTGGAAGCCTCTTGGCCCTTCTTGGGGCTCTCGGGGACGTCTCGGAGCCGCGTTGGTGCGCTGCTGGAGCGCCCTGGTGACTCCTCCCGGGACTCTCTCGGGACCTTGCCGGGGTACTTTCCGCCCGGGGGCCCCCAGGGGCCGCCCCGCGCGCGCGAAGTAGAAAGATTTTAAAGCAGTCACCGGAGTTAGCACGCCTCTGGCCCGTTGGGCCGGCGAATTTCAAAACTACGTGTTATAGAATGGACCGCGTTTGTCAGACAGCGCAAGTGGGAATGGGTACGCACGGTCGCCACCAGCACTACCAAAAAATTGGCACGATCCGTTTTGCAATGGGACCCGGGAGGTGAAATACACAGACAGGCACATCGACGAGCTGGCCGCCCCAAGACCAGGTGGTGGGACGATCTATTACGTTACACACAGCAGTGCGTGCCGGATGCACCACAGACCGCGGCAGACTTGTTACATCTTGCAACCACGGACATTTGGGACAATATCCAGCCAGGATACGTCACACAATGAGTGAGGGAGCCAGCACGTCGTAATTACTCAATTTTCTTGCGTTTCACATGCGTAGTTGTTGTATCTACGATTACAAATTGCCTTTTTCCTTTGCCCAACCTCTGTTGGTCTCATTATGTCTCTGTCTTCCTCTCGTTCGCTTGTCCCTTGTCTCACCGTCGTCAATTCTCATGCATGGCGGCGCCCCGGCGCCCACCTGCAGCGCCCCCGCGGCGCCTCGACTGCAGGCCGATGTCCGATGTCCGATGTCCGATGATGATGCTGATGATGTTGATGGTCGTGGTGATGCTGGTGCTGCTGCTGATGATGATGATGATGATGATGATGATGATGATGGTGATGATGATGATGATGATGATGTTGCCGCTACTTATGCTGCTGATTTCGACGACGATTCTGATGATGATGATGATGCTGTTGATGCTGGTGCCGACGCTGCTGCTGATGATGATAGCGCCGATGATGATGCGGATGACGCTGATGTTGACGATGATTTGGTTGATGATGATGACGATGATGATGTTGTTCCTGTGGATGGTGATTTTGCTGCTGATGATGACGACGATGATGATGGGGAGGCTGAGGATGATGTTGATGCCGACGATTATGATGATGATGCTCAGAGCCCCTCCTATGATCTACCCACCTCGTTGTTGTTGTTGTTCCATACGTTTTCCTTTCAGCATTGTAGCTATGCTACTTCTCTTTCGGGCCACCTGTTTATTGTTTAGTTGCCTGTGGCAAGTCCTGCGACTGTGCCATTCTGACATGCTCTGCGGCTCTCGTTCGCGGGTGCACTGGAGACGGCACTCGCGAGGGATGAATAGCATGATAACATTGATGATGACGATGGCGACGATGACGATGACGATAACTTTGATGATGATGATGATGACGATGAAGATGACGATGATGGTGATGATGATGATGACGACGAAATCTATAATTGTTGCCCTCTCGCGTTCCCGCCTCCGATGAACCTCCAATGCTTCAAAATGGCCCCCAAGAGGCCCTCCGACAGGGTCCAGAAAGGGGCCCCCGAGGCTCCCCCAGAGGCCCCAAGGTGTTCCGAAAACCACGACCACGACCACGACCACGACCATGATTACGACCACGACCGCGACCACGACCACGACCACGACCACGACCACAACCACGACCACGACAACGACCACGACCACGACGACGACGACGACGACGACCACGACCACGACGACCACGACCACGACCACGACCACGACCACGACCGCGACCGCGACCACGACCACGACCACGACCACGACCACGACGACGACGACGACGACGACCACGACCACGACCACGACCACGACCACGACCACGACCACGACCACGACCGCGACCACGACCACGACCACGACCACGACGACGACGACGACGACGACGACGACGACGACGGACGAGGACCCCAGGCGCATCGGGGGTCGCCCCGAGCCTAGGGCCCAGCGCGGAGGCGCGGCGAGGGTTCGCTCCGCGCCTCGATCCTGCGAAGCGGGGTGGCTGGCGAGGGGTGGGAGCCGCGTGCGCGAGGAGCGCACCCAAGGAAAATGGTGGAGAGTTGCCCCCCCTCCTCTCTCCCCCCGCCGGCGTCGCCGCTGTCCCCCACTTCTTTTTGCGCCAATGGGCGACCTGGAGTCCGAAACGGGCTTCCAGGGGCCAAGGGTGCGGAAAGTCGCGGCGGCCCCGACGACGACGACGACGACGAGGATTGCGGCGGCGGCGGCGAAGCCGACGAAGTTGACGACGACGACGACGACGACGACGACGACGACGACGACGACGAAGACGACGACGACGACGACTGCGGCGGATGCGGCGTCTTCGGCCTCCCTCCCTCCGCTCCTCCCCCCCTCCTCCCTCCCTCCCCTCCCCCCCCCTCTTCTCTGCCTCCCCTCCTCCTCCCTCCTCCCTCCTTTCCATAATTACACAATATGACTACTACTCGCCTCTCTCCCTTGATTCTTTGCGGAGAATCTCGGACCCTCATTGCTGCGCTGCTTCGTTGGCCTCATGTTTTTTCGAGTACACGGTCAGAGATGGGATCTACGCAATGGTATGGGATGGAAAGGGGGTAGGACGTCAGATGCGACGTGGGCGCACCTCGTTTGCCCGTCCCCCTCCCCCCTCCGGCACCCCATTTCTCTTCCTTTTTCGAACCCCTCCTCCCTCCTTCGTCCCTCCTCCCTGGCCGCGGCACAGGCCGCTCTCCAGCTCGATGATTTGTTGTGGTTCTCACCTTTGCGGTTTCCCGACGCTCCAAGATGGCCGAAGAGGCTCCCGAGATCGCCCCACAAGACAGCCCAAAGCGCTCCCAAGATGGCCCCAAGACAGCCCGAGAGGGACCCACGCAGTCCGAGAGGCCTCCAAGACGGTCCAAGGTAGCCCCAAGACGGCTCCAAGAAGGGGCCCAGACGGGGAGGTCCGAACGGACCTTTCGAGCCTTCGGCCCCAGAGAGCACTTGCGAGACCCCAAGAAGCGCTCCGGAGGCCCCCAAGACGCCGCCAGAAGACCCTCGAGAGGCCCCCACGAAGCCCCAAGAGGCCTCCAAGAGGCCCCCGAAAGGTCCCCAAGAGGCTCCCAAGAGGCCCCAAGAAGAAGCCACGAAGTACCCAAGAGGCCCCCGAAAGCTCTCCAAGAGGCCTCTGAAAGACTTCCACCACACATATCCCAACAGGCATCCAGCAGGCCACTGGCCCATCACCCAGGCATGACGGCCTCATGCCCACAACCCAAGTCCCCAAGTCCACACTGATGAGTATGCGGATGAAAGGAGGATGGTGATGATGACGATGACGACGACGATGATGATGACTGTGTTTATGTTTATGAGGGTGATGATGGTGGTGATGGTGACGATGACTATGGTTCTAGTATATATATATATATATATGAGACGTTTGCAGTCTCGGACTCCGACGTAGAGTTTTGTCGTGGCAAGCTCGTCCAGCGCTCCTGGAATCGACCTGGCGCTACCCCTTCTGAGCCCAATGTAGCACCGAGGCAGGCTCAGCCAACCTCTCTTTCTTTTCAGTGGCTGGGCAGCCCCCAGTCCTTCTCATGACGAGCAGAATCCCACTAAGCATATCCTGGGGGGGAGGGCCCCCCAGGTGCCGAAAGTAGCGAAAAACCTCCCGTCGTGATTTTTCTTCGCGACGCGAGGTGGTCTTGGTTACGAGTAGTCGACAGGAGAGGAGGAGGAGGGGGAGGAGGGGGAGGAGGAGGAGGAGGAGGAGGAGGAGGAGGAGGAGGAGGAGGAGGAGGAGGAGGAGGCGGAGGAGGAGGCGGAGGAGGAGGAGGAGGAGGAGGAGGGAGGAGGAGGAGGAGAAGGAGGCCGAGGAGGAGGAGGGAGGAGGAGGAGGAGGAGGGAGGGAGGAGGAGGAGGAGGAGGCGAAGGAGGAGCTCCCCCTCCCCCTAGACGAGGGCGCAGCTTCCCCCCCCGCCGTGGCCTCGCCCGACAGGGCGCGGCGGGGCACCCGCCGGCGGACCCGGGCGTGCTGGAGGCCGTGGCGCCCCCGGCCGTCGGCCGCGGCGCGCCTGCCGCGGCGAAAGTCAAGTCGGGCCGGTCTCGCCGAGCGCGTTCCACGACTCGCAAAGTGCCTGTCGCAGGCCTAGAGGTTGACACCAGCACCAGTATCGGCGGTGTGCCTCCACCGAGGGAAGAATATTTCAAAGTCGAGGATCGTCTTCCCCAGGTGGAGGTAGCCCCCCTGGTGTTGGTGCTGGTGCCCATGTCCGCCTCCACGCCTGCTCGCAAACGTCCGAGAAGCACTTGTCTGCTCTGATGCAATGTGTCGCAGGTCCCCCGCGGGGGATCCAGGCCACTTGCGAGAGTAGCTGCTCTGCGAGTCGTGGAGCGCGCTCGTCGAGTGCACGTTCCTCCACAGGAGGAATCTGCCTGGATAGCTCTGCAGCGCTGAGAGAGGGCTGTCAGATTGGAGGCCGGGGGCGCAGGGTAGCCCGGGAGATCGTTTCGGCGGCGGTCCAGAAGCCTCGGCGCGAGTTGCTTGAACTTGGAGCGTGTCCCGAAGGGCCTGCCCAGAAGCTCTCCGGAAGGTCTTTCGGAAGCTCTCTCCAGGTCCTTCCAGAGTGCTTCGCCGGGCCTTCCACGCCGTTCGGGCGCCGTGCTGTCAGGGTTTGGGATTACGCAAGTCATCAATAATTGACAAATAGGCTGGGGGCGATTTGTTTTACTATCTTTGCATATGTTTGAATATTTTTTTGGGTGTTGTTTCTATTTTTTCTCGCGCAAAATCCTCCTGTAGGCGGACATGCCCGACCTAAGGCTAAAGAGCTCTGGGTAGGGACGGGGCCAAGGCACCCGGGGGATCAGCCAGAGCTTAGGGGAGGATCAGGTCCCCGGAGACCAGGCCACAGATAAACCAGGACACGGAAAGCCAACAAAACGACATCTTTCCTGCAAGGTCACATGTTCCAGCACCCGTGCATTTGTGTTCGTTGCCCTGCAGGATTCGGGTTTGTGTCCGGGGTTAGGGGTCTTGCAAGCTTTTAGGGCCTGTGTCCGGGTTTATTCTGGAAGTGCTGCAGTACAGTAGTTATTTTGCTCGTGCCGCCGTCTGGAAAGATCGGTTTCGAGGGATGTTGGGTGTCCGGGTCTGGCGTGTCGGGGTTCACGGGGCCCTGAGAGGAAAAGGTACCGATACCGCTGCCCTGCGCCCGTTTCCTCTTTTTGTTCGGCCTTCCCGGAGGCTCCACATTGCCACCGCAGGATTCGCCTCGAAATCCTGGTCAGACGCACCCCGGGAGCGGTCCGGGGAGTAGCGGCAATGGTACCTTCTGGTTTCCCGAAGAGCGTTGGATCTTGGAGCTTGGTTTTTAGATTCTGGCAAGTTTATTTGCATGGCGTTCGCCCCCCCCCCCCCCCCGCTCGCTCGCCTTTCTTCAAACGAACACCAGCGTGTAAGTGTCTTTCGACTTGCATGATTTCCACACGTCAAGTCGCTTGCGGATTGCTTCAGTTCATGCCCCCCCCCCCGTCCATGCAAGTAAATCTGTGGGTAAACACAAGAAACAGCTCCAAGACCCTGGGGAGCCATGGGTGCATCGATCCATGTTGGTGCGCAGGGTCTTGCAGCATCTTGCAGGCTCCTGCCACGCCCGACGGATCCGTGACCCGGGTCTGCGTGGACCCGGGTCAGTGGAGCCCCAGTTTGCGCCGCCGCCGCCGCCGTCTTGGCACGATCGGCGCGGGTGTGGCAGTGGTCTCGGGCTGCGCACGGACAGCCCCCCCCCCTGTCCGGGGGCAGCGGTGGCCAAAGGAGGGCTGTTTGAGGCATTGGCAGCTGGCTCAAGTCAGGCCTGTCCCTCCACAGGAGGAGTATCCAGAAATACATAGAAATTAGTCTGGGGATGATTGTTCCCTGCCTAGGCTCTGCCTAGAAGGGTTCTTGCTCTCTTAGCTTCAAGGGGCCGGGCAGTGGAACACGCCCCGGGCGGTTCCCCCAGTCCCCTGGGAGCGGTTCCCCCCAGTCCCCTGGGAGCTTTAGCTTTAGCTTTAGCTTTAGCTTTAGCTTTAGCTTAGCTTTAGCTTAGCTTTAACTTAGCTGTAGCTTAGCTTTAGCTTAGCGTTTCGCTTAGCGTTTCGCTTAGCGTTTAGCTTAGCTTTAGCTTAGCTTTAGCTTAGCTGTAACTTAGCTGTAGCTTAGCTTTAGCTTAGCTGCAGCTTAGCTTTAGCTTAGATTTAGCTTAGCTGTAGCTTAGCTTTAGCTTAGCTTTAGCTTTAGCTTTAGCTTAGCTTTAGCTTAGCTGTAGCTTAGCTTTAGCTTAGCTGTTGCTCAGCTTTAGCTTAGCTTTAGCTTAGCTGTAGCTTAGCTTTAGCTT